GTTGGAAAAATAAATAAAAGTTGAGGGGCTGCAAACAAATGACTCCAACCAGGAATACTACAATGTGATTTCTGATGAAACACTAGCCAGTGGGCTTCTGTAAATACCCATTCTAAAACTATAATGAGCAATGATACACAGTTGTGTGAAAAAGTGTTTGCCCCCTTCCTGATTTCTTATTTTTTTGCATGTTTGTCACACTTAAATGTTTCAGATCATCAAACAAATTTAAATATTAGACAAAGATAACAAAAGTAAACACAAAATGCAGTTTTTAAATGAAGGTCTTTATTATTAAGAAAAAAAAAAAAATCCAAACCTACATGGCCCTGTGTGAAAAAGTGATTGCCCCCCGTTAAAACATAAATTAACTGTGGTTTATCACATCTTTGGAAAGCCGAGTTCAATTTCTCTAGCCACACCCAGGCCTGATTACTGCCACACCTGTTCTCAATCAAGAAATCACTTAAATAGGACCTGCCTGACAAAGTGAGGTAGACCAAAAGATCCTCAAAAGCTAGACATCATGCTGCGATCCAAAGAAATTCAGGAACAAATGAGAAACAAAGTAATTGAGATCTATCAGTCTGGAAAAGGTTACAAAGCCATTTCTAAAGCTTTGGGACTCCAGCGAACCACAGTGAGAGCCATTATCCACAAATGGCGAAAACATGGAACAATGGTGAACCTTCCCAGGAGTGGCCGGCCGACCAAAATTACCCCAAGAGCGCAGCGACGACTCATCAAAGAGGTCACAAAAGACCCCAGAACAACATCCAAAGAACTGCAGGCCTCACTTGCCTCAATTAAGGTCAGTGTTCATGACTCCACCATAAGAAAGAGACTGGGCAAAAATGGCCTGCATGGCAGAGTTCCAAGACGAAAACCACTGCTGAGCAAAAAGAACATAAAGGCTCGTCTCAGTTTTGCCAGAAAACATCTTGATGATCCCCAAGACTTTTGGGAAAATACTCTGTGGACTGATGAGACAAAAGTTGAACTTGTTGGAAGGTGTATGTCCCATTACATCTGGCGTGAAAGTAACACGGCATTTCAGAAAAGGAACATCATACCAACAGTAAAATATGGTGGTGGTAGTGTGATGGTCTGGGGCTGTTTTGCTGCTTCAGGACCTGGAAGACTTGCTGTGGTAAATGGAACCATGAATTCTGCTGTCTACCAAAAAATCCTGAAGGAGAATGTCCGGCCATCTGTTCGTGACCTCAAACTGAAGCGCACTTGGGTTCTGCAGCAGGACAATGATCCAAAACACACCAGCAAGTCCACCTCTGAATGGCTTAAGAAAAACAAAATGAAGACTTTGGAGTGGCCTAGTCAAAGTCCCGACCTGAATCCGATTGAGATGCTGTGGCATGACCTTAAAAAGGTGGTTCATGCTCGAAAACCCTCCAATGTGGCTGAATTACAACAATTCTGCAAAGATGAGTGGGCCAAAATTCCTCTACAGCGCTGTAAAAGACTCATTGCCAGTTATCGCAAACGCTTGATTGCAGTTGTTGCTGCTAAGGGTGGCCCAACCAGTTATTAGGTTTAGGGGGCAATCACTTTTTCACACAGGGCCATGTAGGTTTGGATTTTTTTTTTCCCCTTAATAATAAAAACCTTCATTTAAAAACTGCATTTTGTGTTTACTTGTGTTATCTTTGTCTAATATTTAAATTTGTTTGATGATCTGAAACATTCAAGTGTGACAAACATGCAAAAAAATAAGAAATCAGATAGGGGGCAAACACTTTTTCACACAACTGTATGTGCAAGCTAAAACACATTTGTACTTTGTAATGCTACCCCAAATCAATACATGACATTACATACTGGCTTTATGGGACAGTTGTCTTGAACAGTACTGATTTTAAGTGTTATAAGGGAGCAAAACCCCAAATGACACTTTATAATAATACTTCCTAATAATTTAAATGTCAGAGACTTCTTACAACCTGTGATCCGTCGATCAATCCGAGGTGTTGATGGTGAAATGATTCAACAATCACAGGCTGATAGCTGTCAAAACAAAGTCGAGTGCCCTCAGCTTACGAAACAACACGCTGCGTTCAATTTCATAATTCTTCCTGTCTTGGTGGCTTCTAATGCCAATATTAAAAATACTAATGCGTACGAGATCAGGTTTGTTGCAGTCATCATCAGAAAGAGTAAAATATGAATCCGATATTTGGTTAATGTATCAATTCTAGAGCAGACTAACCACTAAATAAACTATTAACGCTACGAGAAGACGTCTGCAATAAATGAAAAGCAGTGTGCCTTAGTACACATAGTTAGCTTGTAATATGGAGTCACAACGAAAACAATTTAGCATAGGAAACAGCCACCGGATTACCGTTACTTTAATACGTTACCGTGAGATAACGTCAGTTAGCGGATAGAGAAGAAACACGCAATGAATAGAGGCGCTTGTTGTTATGGTACAGCCAGACTGCCTTGTTGCCGCTATGTTGGCTAATCTAGTTAGCTGCAGTTAGCTAGCGTTAGCAGTTATGCACAACACTGACTTAGCGTACCCGAGCTAACGTTAGCAGCAGTAGCAATCTCAGTGACAAGAGGGCGGACATGTAGTAACGTTACGCTGAACAAAACACCCCGGCGAACACCCGTTATATCGTTATAATTATACCGACCCCAGTGGAGTCCTTGTTTGCTCGTGCTGCTGGGACATTGAGCCTAGCACACCGGCTAGGGTTTCACTAGCTCACCATTATGCGCCGCAGGACCAGGTCAACCAGCGCTGTGAAGCGGACACGGCAGCCGAGAACACAGGCGAGTAAGGCGGGCTGCGCTCTGCCTATTCGCGGTAAAAAACTCGGCTGGATTCATCCCGGGCTCATAATACCGCATCGTTCACAACAGCATTTGGAAAATAATTCCCACTTTTCAATCAGAAACATTTTGCTTATTTGTGCATTGTATTACCTGTTACGGTGAATTGTGATCAATCGTGTCCTCCTCTGCAGCTCTCTTCCCCCTCCTAGCTCCAAAATGGCGCCAATATGTGTGGATTCACTGCCCGTGGGTACAAACGACAATTGAGTGTGTAGCGCCACCTATAGAGCGAGTGTGTGTAGGTATTATCCTTTAAAAACATATAATTAACCATCTTTAAAAAAAAAAAATTTAAATAAAATTGACTATCACAAGTTTTACTTCCCTTTAAAGATGTCTAGCATTGATATATTTTCATGAAAAATATATTAATAATAACTTTATTTATATAGCACCTTTAAAAACAGAGCCGCAAAGGCATGGCAATAATAACAACAGAAAGCTCAGTGAGACAGTCGATACGATAAAAAAATAAACAAATAAATATATAAAATAATATATATATATATACATATATATATATACATATATATATACATATATATACATATATATATATACATATATATATACATATATACACATATATATATACATATATATATACAATTAGTAAAATAATTTGGTAAAATTAACTAATAAAAATAAAACAGTAAAGCGACGACATCAAATAAAAGCCAGTCTGTAAAAATGTGTTTTAAGAAGTGATTTAAAATAGATTACTGAGAATATACAGTATATATATGATAATATTACACAGAATAAATTATTTATTGAGAGAGATTAACATAACAGAGTATTGTAGTTTCATAGCATAAAGTGGGGTTTGTTTGCCCAATGCTGCTCAGAACGTGAATCATTATAGTTTCATATAAGATAGCCTAATATAATATTAATTCCTTTGTGTTAAGTAGCCTACGTGTTATAATGCAGTCAAATAGCAAGGGCTGCAAAATATGGAGCATTCGCTGTAGAACCTGAGGGGACTTTCCGACAGCAATTGAACGCAGCAACCTGCTGTGTTTTGAAGGAGCTTTTCTTTTTGTAAGGAAATTATCTTATAAATGAGACACGGTCGCAATAAACATAATGATGTCATTAAAGTAATATTCATGTTTCTTCCGCGTAAACTGTATTTACGATCAATGTAGCTGCTTCTCAATAACGTCATATTCATATCAGAAAGTATCCATGTCTATTAAAGGGTATTTAAACAAGTCAATGTGTCTATTCATGCAGCCTTTTCTCGGATAGTGCTATGGAGCCTGTCATTTCTTCCCACTTTCCTTTCCCTGCTAACCTATTCATTAATATGCACGTTTCAATGTAAGAACATCTGTTCCTGTGCAAATGTGCATTTACTTTGATTACACTTGTCATTGCCAATTCTCCTGCGAAATCCACATTTTAAGCCACTACAAATGTCTTGCCATACTGGTTTACAGAACATTAAACTAAAAATAAATACATGTCTAAAATATCAGCAGCGTGCTTTATCTTTCGCTGCGTCTCTGTCCAATATGAACTATAGGGGGCGCTCCAATGCAACGTTTCAGATTTGCACCCCTCAAAACCAAAACACTATACTGCAGCAGGTGCAGAACATGACAGATAGCGTGCATAGTTAACCAGAGAGTAATGCGTGGGAAAAGGACAGCTTGAAAGCATGCTGTCAAGTGTGTTTGAGGCAGGCCAGTACAGATTAGTGGGCACATTGTCTGTGAACTGTTGAATGAGAATTTAACGAAATAACAGTAGATTTAATATAATGTCAGCGTTTAAATACCACAGACCATAACCGTGAACATATGAATAAAATCATTTGAATTAAACCCACTTGAAATTACCATTGGAAATATTATTGGATCTTAACATTTAACACATTACATTAATCAACATTAATTATTTTAGATGAACAACATAATTTAGAACTATTACGAGCTTGTTATGTATCCGTGGTTGTCAGTAGCAGTTTAAGGTTGATCAATGTTCTACCACTATTGGCATTACATTTTATTTTTTTTAAACCTATCTAGATATTTCTGTATAAGGCGGCTCAATCGGAGGATGCACAGCCTTGTTCCCAATCAACCAATTAGTAAGCGACTGCTTAAATCCCAGCTGGAAGAACTTGGACCGGTTTCACGGCTCCAGGATGGAGGGGTTCCTGTCCACGTTGCCACCGTACAACGCGTGCGCTGTCCCGGCTCCGGACAACAGCGGCTGGGGGAAGAGAGAGGGCCGCTTCATGATCCCCCATGGACTGAACTACCTGGAGCTCTACAAGGCCATCCTGTGCCAGGTCAGCCCCAGTGTGCCCCCTCTACTCAGGAAAGCCAACACCAAAGAGTGCGGCGTGCAAGTAAACGCCAAAGTGGATAAAATCGTGCAGTGCTCGCTGGGTCCCAAGACGCTGTTCTGCGCGGAGGGCGACCACAACGGATCCTCGAAGTCGCCCAAGGGCCCGGAGCCGATCAGGCCGGACGGGAAGGCACTCTACAACACGCCGCCGCTCAGCAAGCTGCGCTTCCTGAGGCCCGTTTCCATCTACTCGCCGATGTTTGACCGACGGATCTTCACGAAGACACTCGAGGACGACGGAAGAGAACAAGCGGAGTCTGGTAAGGAGGATGAGACGGATCACAGCGGGGAGGACACGGTGCGGGACTTGAAGACGACTCTCCACAGGTCTTTGAAGGGTCCGTCCAACTTTCAGGTGGGTGTCCAAGACCTAAGATCAACTCTTCCCCAAACTTTATTCTACACATAGACCAAGAACTGCTGTGTGGTAATTTGATAAAAATATATGAAATGCACAGCAATGAAACAATTAAGGTCTTAAAGTTAGATTTGATACAAGGACATGCAGTGCACAATATGAGCTAATAAAGACTCACCTTAACTATCATGTTGGTTCATTCTGTGCTTTAGAAAAGATAAGTGGCACAAGGTAAGGCGGCTTTTTATAGCACCTTTCAACAAGGCAATTCAAGGTGTTTTAAAATAAGACACAAAAGGGCATTAAGTCAAGATATAAAAGAAACAAGCCGACACGAAATTAAAGGGAAAAAGGAGCTCAAAATGATCTAAAATTGATGGGGAAAAACTGAATACGTGGAAGAATAAAAATTGCAGAGCAAGAAATGAATGAATGGATATATTTCATAAAAGGCAAAGTCACAAAGCGGTTAATACACGATGGGCCCCCTTTCCCCCCCCAGTTTGTGATTGAGCCCTGGTTGTGACTCTGAATGTTTGGGTCTTTCATTCAATATGAATTTGTCTTTATTTCAGTTCTTCGAGCAGAGGTATGGCTTTTTCCACTGCAAGAAGTGCAACATCCGGTGGGAGAGTGCTTATGTGTGGTGCATCTCTGGAACCAGTAAAGTAAGTGGTTTATTGTTCACTGCACACATTTGTGTTTGGCAAAATCTGCATTCCAAATAATGATCCAGATTTTAAATATTGTTTTTGTGTGTCAGGTTTACTACAAGCAGCTCTGCCGGAAGTGCCAGGTGGGCTTTAACCCCTACAGAGTGGAGTCCATCGTCTGCAAGGTACGTTTAACTTTGTGGCTCCAAGAGAAATGTGAATCAAGTCCTAAGTTTCTTAAAACTTGAGCATCAGGGGTCGGAAGCATCCTCCTGCTCTTTTGTTGCTTCCATCAGTCACTAACGGTCTCCTCCCCTCTGCCTCAGGGCTGCTCTCAGACGAGCTGCAGCTGTGAGAAGAAGCAGAGGCACATCAACATGAAGAGGCCTCACCGCCAGGACCTTTGCTGTCGCTGCAAGGGCACGAGGCTGTCCTGTGACGCCACCTACAGCTTCAAATACATCGTCTGAACGGCCTCGCGTGCTCGCTCTGGCCTGGACACCCTGTGCAGGTCACGAATGGAAGTCGCCTCCACTAACGGACGGAAGAGAGATCCGTGTGTTCGCCTGCCAGCGAGTAGATGAATCTCTGTCTTGGTTTGTTAGTTTGAAGCAACTTCTCAAAAGGGTTAGCTTTTTGTTTCCCTTCATCAATCCTGGAGCTTAAACTTAAATATGGAAACTATTTTTGTAAGAAAAAAGAAATTAAATTTATGAAATAAAGAAATTGCATGTCAGAAGTTGAGGAATTATTCTAGATTATATTGAATTTGCACTCATTCATTTAAAACCTTCATCTTTATAGCTTGGCACAACCTTTTCCAGCTCTAAAAGCTCAGTTTGACTTTATGCACATGTGCTGAGCCCAAAGATTGTGTTCAGTAGTGTAGTGTGAAGAGACGGTATGTTGAGATGCATTCGCAATCTAAAAAGGTTTTAAGTGAAATGCAGAAGAAATAACTTGATATGTCTTTTACTTTGACACAGACTTGTACAGAGCATCAACTCAAAAACAACTTCACAAAGGCTGTAAAAGTATTTACAAGGTGGAAAAAAAACTACAGTCTTGATCTAAAAAGCTTTAAAAATGTGCAATTTCTTGTTTGGCATGCACACACACACACACACACACACGCTCTCTCCCACACACAGGAAAGAAAAAAAACATACCCGCATGAGCTTAAAGCTCCCTTTTGTACCTCACACAAACGTATCTTTCAGATAAAATATGATTTGTTAATAAATATGTCAAACACTCCATACAGTACACTGAAGAGTCATGCATGGCAGTTTGATTTGAGCCAACAAACATTAATATAAAATCTAAGTCAAATGAGTGATTTATAGCTGATCAGATATAAACAGGGACATTTGTACAGTAAAGGGGAGGGGCAAACGAGGGAGTCACAAAAAAGGGCTGCCGACAGGACTTGTTGGACTTCAGTAGTAGCACAGGGTTTCGTTTTGAACGCTAACAATGAGCGCTGAATGTCAGCGTTTCCCCTACGTGTAAGGTAACTACAAACCACGCAACAATAGTTGTGCCCATAACTATTAATAGTATACAGACAGACAAAATATTTTGAGCGTGTACATGCACCATCCTCCTAGCATGTGAACACAAGGTCAACGTGTTACAGTGAGAAATATACAGTGTGTGTACGCCCGCTAATGATGCTACAACTTGCCACAGAGGAGTGCACGGATAATGGCATGATTAGTGTACCAATGTTTACAACAGTAGTCGGGAGACGAGCTGGTTCACTGATACAGAATATAAACGGAGCGAGTGCAGCACGAGGAGGTACGCTTGAGTATTCTGCTTCCGCTCTTTGTCGATTAGTCTTTCAGTCGGTCTGGAGAGGTCAGACTTTGAGGGAGCGAAAGGGACACTAGTACAGTGAAACGCATTCATCTGGGTCATGCATTGCACAATTTCCTCCAAGAGGAGTTCTCAGGAGAGAGAAGTTATTCCAGCTTTTGGCTTCTCCTCAGTGAAAGCCTTTTCTCTCACAGTAACAAAAAACAAACATTTCTGTAACATCTTTTTAAAAACTATACCAAAATTCCATTTAGTGCAATAGCGAAAACTCTACCAGTGATGTCATGGGTAGTTTCCTCACTGTCTCTGGCAATACTAACAGCAAAACTACGTCCTTTTTAGCAGAGGCAGTCAATCAAGTTCAATCAGTTCCATCGAGTTAGAACTCGGAGCTAACAGCCTTCACAGGTCCTCGGGTGCAGAGTAGGTTTAGTGCTAAATGACGACCCTAAAGCAGGACTCAAACTCACAACATGTAGCCGTAGCGAAGTATCGGGTCGTCTTAATCAGCAGGCAGCAGTTTGTGGTATCTAGTCGGCTCAGTGATCCCATTGTGTCTGGGACATGATGCAATGTTCTTAAAGTGTCTCTGGGATGTCATCTTCTCCTTGTCAGATATAAAGATCTGACGGTGGCTTATGGTTGGTTTCTTTCACGATTCATAGAAGTCTGAGCTCTTTAGGTCCTCTGGCACGTCTCAGGTCTGGACGTCTGACGGTTCAGCATTCAGGAGCCCCCCTACTTTCAGTAGGGGCAGGGCGGCGTGCCTCACCTTCCCAAGGTAGCGAGATAAGGGCATAGCAGCTCCACCGAGGGAACAGCAGCAACCCCATGCCGCAGCCTCTCCCGGGCCGGTGGGGCAGGGAGGAGGGGGAGGGAGAAGGGATGAAGATGGGGCAGGGCCATGGGTTAACACTGTGTCATGGCCCGAGTGTACAACTGGGGACGGACTTGAGTGTTTGTATGGAGAGCGGGGGAGATGCGAACCCGGAGGTGGATCGGAAGATGCGTTTGTGTCCGAGTGCGTGAGCAAGGTGGGTTCCGAGGCCACAGTCGGGAGCATGCTAGATGTACGAGATGATATCAGGTGTTTGCTTCCGTGTATATGCAACAGTGGTGAACTGTGTGATGAACGTCCTCTGAAAGGATAGTAAAGGTGAGTGTTCTCATCGAGATCACTCCTCCTCGGCTCTTGTGTGTGCGTCATTGTGAAACTTGGTTGGCCTGGTGCGTTTGAGAACAAGTCTGGGGGTTCGGGAAAATCAAATGAGGCATCAGAGTCTACGGTGGATGAGGAGATCAGATTGTTTGGGTCGTGATCTAAATATGGTTCTGGTGTCGGGCCGGACTGTAGGCAGGTATCTGTCTGTTGCTGTGCAGCCGGGGCAGCAGATACACAGGAGGAGGCAGGGGCCAGGTGTGTGGGTGCTGGGCCTCCTCTGTGAGAGCAGGCGGAGATGAGAAGGGATGGGGAGATGGTTTTGGAAGTGTCAACGGTTGCAGGGACGGGGGAGGTATGGGTGGGGAAGGAGGGGGCGGGGGGCTCCTGAGCTCCTGTCAGAGGCTGGTCCCGGAGGTGCTGGAGTCGGGGAGGTAGGTTGTGACGACCCGGTAACCCTGGGCGCGGCGGATCATGTCGCGGATCTCCCCGTTGAGCTCCAGCAGCTTGGAGCAGATCAGGCTGAGGTCCTGGCGGGAACCGACCAGGGCAATGGTGCCCGTCTGGCCCAGCGTCTGGTGGCGGAAGTAGACGTTGAGCAGTGTCTGGACCTCGCTCTCTGAGCTGCCACCGAACACGCCGCTGGGCCACTGCCTCCTGCAAGCGAGATAAAAAAAGATCTGTCATCTGGCAACCGTCATCTAGTGTAAGACTTTTGGGAGAATTGCTACGGACCTGCACTCCTGGATGTAGCGCACAGCTTTGGTGAACTCATGGTTCTTAAGGCACTCCAGTATGGCCTGCACCGCTGCCTCCGAGGTGGGGAAGCTGGGCACGACCATGGCTGCCACCTGGGTGGCGTGGGATCGAGTGTGGGCCAAGTGTTTGTGTTCCAGGTCGCTGGCCACAGCCGCCTCCGCCACATGCAGGCTGGTCTTCAGATCAGTGAGCTCTCGAGACATGTTCAGCAGCTAGGACGTGGGAAGGAAACAGAAGGAATGTTTATATCATTTGATATCAAGGTTCACTGTAGGAGCCAGAAAAAAAAGCTTTGTCTCCTCTGTGAAGGCTGGCATGTAGTGTCCTACTTTGTTGGATGTTTCGTATGATTATTTTGATGTCGCCGTGGGTGCCAATGGACGGAAATACATTTTTTTTTAGCTTAATTTATTTGTTTGTTTCTGTTTTGAGGAATAGTTGGATGGGGTTAATTGTGTTTTTGTTTGGTTTACAGCCAGTGAGCCTCTGCCTTGGTGGTTTTTCCATCCTGAACAGTGTATAGACTATAAATGATGTCTTGGTGAGCTATGATTTGGCTCACCTCAGGCACAGAGCTGACAGCATGGACTTGACCAATGAGCGAGCAGTAGGACTGGAACAGTAGGAGAAGCTGGAAATGCAGCTTGTAGAGCTTCTGACAAAGCTCCAATTGCTAGAAGACATGAAAGAAGAAAACCGGTCAGTTTCGTCATTAGCAGAGAACATGCAGACACACATAACACCACCTATACACACGCATGCAAACACAACTAGCGGATTGTCTTGTGCAAAGTAAATTAAGCAGTTTATCAAGAGGTAGTGAAGTGAGGAAACTTGTAAGAGAACTTACTGCAAGAGACTCCATTTGCTAGACAGCGAGAGAGCATGTTAGGGCATCAGAGTAAGGTGAGAGGAAGACAAAGCATCAATCAAACACATGCACAGCCAAGTGTAAACCATGACTATTCAGTTAGCTAACAAGAATTAGTCAACAATGTGTAAAACCCAGCAGCATTTAGTGCTTGGTGGCTGGGGGGTGGGGGGGGAGACTAGATAACACACTGCAAACATGCAAAGAGAGCAGAAATCTCAGTGTGACGAACAGAAATAGAATTGGAGAGCACAGATGCTGAAGAAGTTACCCATATGTTGAGCGTGTTTGCCGGTAAACCGTAGATTACTTGTAAAGTTGCCTGTACCTTCTCCTCTGAGTCTTCAGGCTGGCAGGTAACGACACTGTCACCGGGGCACCTGGGAAATGTGTCCTTACAGTTCCTCAGCCACTGAAGTAACAAAAGAGATGGTGAATATTTAGTTAGTTCATCACACATTTACATGAAAAAGCAAAACAGATGTATAAATAACGTGTAGATGTTAGGTTACCGACACAGCAGCGTCCTCTCTGGTGTTGTAGGTGTCCAGGTACTCCTGCAGCTCCAGCGCACTGAACTTCATTTTTTCAAGGAGACCATATGACATGATCTGGAAAGATCAACAAATGAGTTCAGTGCATTAGACAAATTCAACACAAATCCCATTTCACGCTGTTCACAGACCACCATTTGCTGATCCAACCAGCATGCTGTTGTCACGGTCTAGTCAATCGTGTCTGCAGTACTCACCGTGTCCGCGTCAATGTAGATTGTGGGGCAATCTGAGCATGTGGTCAGCATCTGTGACGACCTGAGGAACTTTGAGCCAATGCCCCTTAAGCCCTCCCCAAGGTAAGTGGCAACATCAGTGGTCAGGAGGCAGAATTTCCCCTGGATGTTCTGGGAAAGAAAGGAAGTTTGTTTGATGAATTGTTGTACATACATGCATGTTAATTCTACTGGACTTGAGAGTTTGCTTGAAGAGAAAAAAAGAGCATCATGGTTACTAACAGGGACAGAAATGTGCATGAATTGATAATTCCAACTAATCCTTCCCGTGATTTACCGTAAAGAGAGATGAGAAGACTTGAAAAGTGTGGACGGCACAGGATCCATCTGAGTCGGTCACAAGCTGGTTGATGTGACAACGCCACGCCTCCTCAGCATCGTCACACACTGTGGGCTGGAAGGCTGCCAAGATGGCGGAGAAAAATGGAGAGGGGGGAGGAGGAAAACCGAGGTCTTCCAAGTCATCTACATCATCACGTAAGCTGTCGCCATGGAAATGGGAAAGATATGGGGGTACAAAGAAAAAAGGTTTTGATACCTTCCCCCCAAAAAGGTTTTCTATCAAAATCAAGTGCCCAGCAACCTCATGGAATTGTAGGAGTTGGCTAATGCGACTGCCTCCCTTTAAGCAGTATTTGGCGAAAAATGATTAATGTTTTTCAAAGCTAGCCTAATGTACGGGTTACAGGGGGCATCGCGAGGGCCAGGATGAATAGAATTCATTTAATAGGAACTATTTAAGAGGATTATTTAATATTAGAGTAAATACCTGGAAAATCAGGACAATAAATGCCAAACACAAACTGCGGCAACAAAGAAAAACAATGTACTGAATCTTACTCGCAGGGATATAACATGTACAGCTTGTAGGGGTTGAGACATACAACCTAATATTACCCACATAGATCGTTTTCATTTAGTGATTTAGTCACTTACATAAGGTTTAAAGTCTATTTTAATGAAGCTTTTTCATTATTTAAAACTGGGGGGGGGGGGGTTGCATATATGCAGATGAAAATTGGATGTCTTTGAAAAGTATTTACATCACCCTTCATTGTGAATAACAGCATGTAACAAATGACCTAATCTGTCCCAATGCTATCTGCACAAGCATTCTGGTTGTGACAGATTAGAGTCAGCGCTTAGGCTGCAGCTTAACCGAGGTTTAGTCCCAATGTCAGTCAATCTGCCGGCTGATAAAAAGTTCCAGTGAAACAATACTCCATATTGTTTCCTGTTCTTTTACTCCTGTCTGTCACATTCACCTGGGCAGACAGTTGGGGTCTAGAAAGTCCAGCGGTGGTTGGCAGTAGTCTGCGTTGAGGCTGTGGTCCAAATTGGGCAGATGATCCAGACGCTGCCCCGGCAACTCCAGGGTGAGACTCTCGCCGCAGTCCGAGCCGTGAGGGAGCTCGTTGGCGCTCAGCGACAGTTCGTCATCCTGGGCCTGAGTGTCTTCATCCTCGCCACACACCGTCCCCTGAGGAGACAAACATGTTATATTTTAAAGGGGATAACACACGCATCTGTATTAATACACTAGTATATATGTTTATGTATTTTAGTCCTCACATGTAGGCTCCCGTGAAAATCGTGGAGTGCTCCCTGTCCCGGTGTGGAAGCATTGAGGGATTGTAGGTCGGCAGATGAAATGTCGTAAGAGGTAGATAGAGAATCAGTGTGATTGGTTTCCTCCGATGGAGAAGGGTTCGTCTGAAACAGGAAGGCAAACAAGGGACGTCTATCATTTTGATCAACTTATTCTGTCAAACCCGGTCATTGCAATAACACACAATGACGTTTTTCAGGCTTCAGTGGATGTTAATGTGGCATTGATCCAACAGTTAAAGCTACGCACAAGCTGAGAGTGAGAGAGGCTCTGGCTGGTTGAAGACTCGTCTTCCTCTGAGGACTCGTCTGAATCGTGGGGGTCCTCGTGACCCAGACTGGGGGTGCTGCCTGAGTGCTGGCTCTCCTCCAACATGTCACCCAGCTCTGTGCTGTCCAGAGAGCGCCGACGCACGCCCCAATTAAAGTTATCGACGGTCTCGCCCTGGATAAAACACACACGCACGTACACATTGGAAGACAAGGGCAGAGGCGATGGGAGCAGTGAGTTTCATGAAAACATGAATAGTTGCCGTCTAAGAGCACCCAGTGACGAGCAAAAGCTGCGAAATGTTATTCATGGCATGAAAAATATGCTGGAAAGGCTGTCTGCATTCAAAATAGCCACAATCTAATTTATCTCCATTATGACAAATAGCAATAAGGTCAGAAATGTAGTTCTGCAACAAAGCTGTGCAAAATGAAGCACAATTATCCCGCAACACCACAGCGCTGATTAAAGCTAATGTAAGTGCTCAGTGTGAGAGACCTTACCTGGAGCTCCTAGGCAGCGAGGGGAAGAGAGAGAGACACAGAGTTAGACATAGAGAGAGACAAGGAGGAGGGACAGAGAAATACATTTCAAATGTATTGATGTTAAAGAAAGACAGACGGATAAAGTGAAACACGCATCAAAGGTAAAAGGGAAAGGAAAGAGACAGGATCTACAGTTAAAATCAAGTGACGTACGTTTAGCACTCATAGGGACTCAAAGTGTGTCTGTGAAATATAAATCTCACCTCTCCGTCCTCCAGCTCCACATCCAGGAAGTCAAAGTCTCGGAAAACCCTGAACTGCTGCTCGCTGGCGGTGTCGTCTAGCGTGTCCTCTCTGGTTCCGCCCTCCTCTGATGACACACCACTCTCCCGTATCTCCATCATGTCCAAGTCGCCACACGATGAGAAGATCACCTAACGAGAAGGAACAAAAAGTTATTTAAAAACAACTTCCTTATGAAATAAATAAATATCTGGAAGGATATATTCATATATTCTATAAGGAAGGAAGAATTATTAACCTTACTAGGATGAATAATTCCAAAAGATATACAGAGAACACAATTTCCTCTAAAGCAAAAGACACGTCCGCCCTTTTGTAGATGTTTGTACACTGTAAACAAGTCGACAGTACAGGTTTTGTGAACAAAACATGGGAGGCAGCTTACAGATGGGTTCTTGGTGAGTCCGACTTCTTGTCCACAAAGAGACAAAACATTCACCAGCTTCTCTCTGGTTCTTTTCTGTATGAAGGAGACAGACAGAAGGAAATAAATCAAAGAGGGAATAGACATAAACTCTTCTCGTTCTCAGGTTGTTTATTGTTAACTGCCTCAGATGTTGAAATATCACTAAATCAGTTGAGAGAATTTAGCATTTACAGTACATATATACAAAGTCTAGCATGGTTTTGCTTCTATTAAACTAAGGCACGCATGTGCAGAGAAAAACAACAAATAAGATGATGTGAGTCAATATGCATTGCGTATACAGTAACAAGTAGTGGCAATTATTTTTGTAGTTGTATATTACAATTTGAAAATATTAAGCAGCATTGAGATGCCACATCCCAACACAAACAGTTAGAGTTACATAAAGAAATGTACATAAACCGCGACAGAGCTGAAAATGCTGACGTGGCGATACCTTAATGCAAAGTGTCTAAGTCTACCTGAGAGGACTGCGGTCGCCTCCAGCTGACGGGCACCAGGATAGTGTTGGAGTTGGACCCAGAGGAGGTGGAGGAGGTGCTCCGCGTTACAGCCATGGCTCTGGCCTTCCCCTCTCTACCCCCTGAACCCTGAAGCTCGTCGAACCGACGCCCAATCACTGGAGTCTGTAAAGAAAACAGCGAAGGGGGCCCTTATGGTAATGCTTGAGTGGGTTGAATCTCACAAACATATTTGACACGTGGTCCTCTTTTTTTCCTCTGACATTTTTGTAGTTTCTTCACCTCAGAGATGTCAAAGGTGAAGTCCAGTGTTTTCCCAGGCAGAGCCTTGGCTGAACCGTCCCACACCCTGCTGACCTCCAGGTTGGACAGGTCGCCCTGCGAGTGGCCGTACACCGGATGAACTAGGCTGGCAGAGCGCGACACCACCAGCTTCAAGATGTTTAAGGCATCCTTCCAGTGCACCGTCTATGGAACCACAAACACAGTGTAGAGTATAAAGGAGACAGCAGTGCACACTTCATATCACACGATAAAACACAGAAGCAGTGGAAAAAGGATTTGGCTAACACAAAGGACTGTAAGGACCTTGTTACCTGAACAAACTTCTCAATGGTCTTGGTGACATCACCGTTGAACAGTTTTACTTGTACAGCAGTCAAGTCCATGTGGCTGAGCAGGCAGTAAATGATCTGGAGGAGAGACTGTTGCATGCTGGGAAGGCCCTTATCCAGCAGCTGAGAGATGAAGAGAGACATTTAGTGAGTGACAAAGCATGCAACCACTAAATTCATCTTGCTTAGCGGCAACAACAGGCCAACAGGTCAATGTAGATTACTGAAAATGAGCTGTCCTTACTTCACAAACGGCGACAACTTCCACTGAAACAACACACTAAACTTTCTATCCTAAATTGCAATGAGTTGAATACGTGTAGTGTATCCTTGCAGCCACACTGGGAGACATCTAACCATGTAAAAATGAGGTATGCAATGCATATTTATCAGCACTTGCCTCAGCCATATAGGTGACCATGTTGAGTGTGATTTCGGAGAAAGCTTCATGGAGGTATCGGCAAACCACACTGACCCAGGAGAAAGGGTCCCGTGTGTAAGAACGTGTCTTATAGAGCGTCATCACATGGGCCAAATGGGACAGCTTTGTGTTCTTCTCCATTAAACACACCTGAGAGAGGGGAAAGGGAGAGCTTGTACTTATCCTTTCTGTGCATGTTTATTCCTCAGGCCTTTTTTAGACAAACTTGCTTCAACACTTTAATAAAGCCAAAGGAAAGTGATGTAAAAGCAAAGAGTGAAGAATTGCATCGTACCTGTGCGATCCTCTCAGCGCTCTCCTTACAAAACTGAGTTGGATGGCCAAAGTGCTGCACCAGGTGCGGCAGCAGACACAGCACATTCAGAGGGAAACCTGCACGGGGAGAAGAGGTTGAACTTCCAACACCACCCATTTGTTTTTAGCTAATAAAATAATACAGGATGAAGATCACCGTGACCCCCGGTACGTACCTATAGACTGAGAGCTGTCGACAACGGGCACGCGGGAGACTGGCGTGAGCTGGCAGAAGAGCTGTAAGGTGAGGTCAGAGGTGGCCTGGGAGGTAAAACCTTTCAACAAAAGCTGCTGAATCCCAGAGAACCCGCTCCACCTCAGCTGAGCCTGCAGCTTCTCGAGGCGTTCGCGGTTTTCGGCTCTGTCTAAGGGCACCTGGGAAAAGAGTTTTTTTGTTTTAAGTGAAACTGCAAGTTGATTGTATTATTTAGTTTCCTCCTGAAATGCATTCTGACAACCTGATTCCAGTTGGTATTAAGGACAGCACAGCCTTCAGACATGGCTTGCACCCTTCTGCTTCTAGTCTTACCTCTGTCCGAACTTATGCTACTACAATTACACATCTTCCGCTTTAAGATCAGTAAATGTCATCTCACCTTTGACAGCAGCTTGTGGACGAGGCGTAGTGACATCTGATATTCAAACTCAAAGTCTGACTCCATGAGGGCCACCGCCACCCAGAAGACCGTGGCCAGTATTGTTGAGGGATGAGAGACATGGGCAGGATCCGATAGAACGCTGGGATCGATGCGATTGGTTGATGATGTGCAAGACCCGGGGGTCCTTCCCATTCGGGCGAGGCCATGACTGTTGCAGGCCTGTAGATTGAAAGTTAAAGATAACACTGAATTACTAGTCTGCTCCAGCATTAAGGTTGTCACACTAAACAGCAATCTTCCTTTCTTGCCTGTATGCGATCCAGAGTTGCACTGCGGGGAGGATCGCTCAACTGGTGCCCGCACTCGCCAAACTTCTTGGGGACCGAGTAGGAGCGCTGGTGGCGTTGTGACGACAGACCCACAAATCCCGGGCCAGGGAAGTTCAACTGGCCTGTGCTCTTTCTGTTCATAAGTTTTTCACTAGTCACGAAGTCTGGTGAGGATGTCCTGTGAATCAAACACGGTGAAAATGAATGTACCCGAATATGGTTACATATGTTGACTATGGTGTCCTTGTGTCGCAACATAAAGGCTGGCTGAACTTAAATTGTTCACTCATAAAGAGCAGAGGCCTACCTGGTTAGAGCTGCCATAAGGTCACTGTTTTTCAGACACTCTGCTAGATTCACCACCACTGACTCCAGCGTCAACAGCACCTCCATCACATAGCCCTGAAACACACCAGCATGCATTCTCATTTACAGATTAAAGAGGGTGTTAAGTGCTGTCGTGGCGCTCTCATATACCGCCATTAATCTGACAATCCCTCGCTTACCTGCACTTCGTCTCCGTGCTCTCCCACCACCTCAACGAGGCGCGAGACCAGGTCAGAAACAGCGTGGTTGTTGATTGGCTGTTTGAGGGCTCTGAAGATCTGGAAAGAGCGGCCAGCATAGTGACGCGAGGAGCTGCACAGAGCCGTCTGCAAAGCCACATCGCTCAGCTGATGCTCCAGGTGGAAGTCTGTGTAAATAGATGGGTACAAAGACACGTAAAGACACAAACATGCAGGTTTGTTAGTAGATATTTTTGAGAATATTAGCAGACTCTATTTGCTCATTTTGTGCCAATGTGATTTTGCATTAAGTGTAGTGGATTGCCTCATGGCCGAACACAGAAGAGAGCCCTGATTTTTCGGTTATTTAGTGAAAGACATTTTGACATGAACGTGAGCCGTTTCTCACCTGACTTTGACTCCTTAAAGACAGAGACGACGTGGCGTAGGAAGCTGGAGAGCTGCTCCGTGCTCTTGGAGTTGGGGTTCTTTGGCGTGATGTCCTCGTGCACCCACAGTGGCCCAAACGCTCTGAGCAACAACAACACAGTACTCCAGGCACTGTATACCCACCACCAGTAGCACCACATACACGTTACACAAGCACTTATGTATGTGCAGAGTGCACACGGAGTGCACTACAGTGAGACACATATTGCTAAGATGGCTGCTCGAACATTTGTACGGCAAACCTCTAGAATTGCACAAGACGTCACCGTAGCTGTGCGTACCTGGTGGTGAGGAACTCGATGAGTTTGTTCGTCTTCTCGTCGGTTTCATTGGGCGTATCCTCCAGGTCCTCCAGGTCATCGGGTGTTATGAGGGGCAGATTTCCAACACTGCCTGCAATGCTGCCGCCACCAAGACTGGCAGAGGACGAGTTGGAGGTGGAGCTGAGGCCGGAGTCCGCCACCGGAGAAGCCTGCCACTCTCGCAGGAAGTCAGGTACGTCTAAGTGAACACGATGATAGAGGATACAGAGTATGCTATTAATATATTGCCCTGCAGCTTTATCATATTGTTATATACTGCACTGTTTCAGCACATTTATATCGGTTCTCTCATGTGAAAACTCATCAAACAATCAATTCTATACACCAGTAAATATCTCTTAGGTTTAATAAATGTGTTTTCTACTTACGCGACTGCTGGTACTCTGTGTGGTAGCTGGACTTAATGGTGAGGGTCTTGTTGTCACTTATCTCTCTCGTCAGCATCAGAACCGAGGCTATTACCTGGAAACACAAAAAGGAAGATTCTTCGGTGGCTGGTAAAATTAATTTTTGACCGAAAAAAAACTTTCCATTGCCACTTTATGCAACGCTCATTCAGGCTGAAATAGCATCATGACAACAAATGTGAGGATCCCACTCTGACCTGGAAGTTGTTGTTGCAGGAGAGTGCAATGAGGAGGTGGAGAAGGAGACGTTTACTGTGCTCATAGACCTCCGGTCTGTAGTGGTCCAGACCTGCCAATAGAACACACATCCAGTAAGACAACCACATGATTAATATACTATAACAGACAGGTACAGATACATACAAAGTATTCATTATACATGCTGATATTTATCTGCACATCTGTCTCACTGTAAATACAAATTTGAATTCTTAGGAATTCATTATTTCTAAGGATAAAACATACGAAGATAATTGAAATATTGCTAGACACTGTTACTGTGTCCAGATATGTTGGTGTACAGTTTCTTAAAGGGCCAGCTGTATGAGGGCTTGTTGTGCTTCATTGTTTGCTATGACAACATTTCTCCCAACACACTGCCGGTATTAATGCATGAAACATCACAAGATGATTTCTTAGACATCGTCATGCACACAGTCGCACAGATTGGACGATAACTTGAGTGTCACTAAGCTGAATATCCATAATAACAATAGAGCTGACAGGGTAGGTATGCGTCTACATGTCTTAGAGAGAAATGCAGGCCCAGGGGAATGTGTCTGTGATGGTGACTCAAGAGAACGGTCTGTCCTGAAATGTCTGTGATGGATGGAGATAAATCCTCACACTATCACATCATGATCTTGTTGGACGTCACAGAAAATGCCTACACACCTCAAAGTTATTTGAGGTGTTTTCCTTTACCTCCTTCTTTTTTTCCCCCAAGATGAATCACCTAATGGCTGGACTTGTACCAAGAGAAAGATAGATCGTATCTGAGTTATGTGTATGTGTCTTGTGTACGCCTACCCAAGAAGAGGGCATGTAGTAGCAGGGGCAGGTGTAAAGCCCAGTCTTCTCTCACGCTGTGGTCCACCACCATCTCTGTCATGAAGATCACTGCAATGTTGCACCTGAAAACCAACACACACAACAGATCCAGTGAGTGCACAAAATAGCAACAATGCGTGCTCCATCCATGGACTGTTGGGTGGTGTACTGAGGAGTGTGATTATTGTCAGTTAGGCCACATGTAGTCTCATGGAGCAAGAGAAAACTAGTATTGGTTTCACCTCTTAAATGTACTTCAGTCATGAAGAGGATTACAACATCATGCAAGTCTTATTCTAGGAACTGCTTTTGTGTGTATATTGCTGCTGGGATTGGGGCTTCTCTCTAACAATAATTAACATGAGAAACTGCACATAAAGGAACTGTATTTGCCTGAAAGAAAAATCCCTGCACCATTAGTGTAATAAACCAAGCCTGAAACCCCTCTTCAGTAATGACTTTTGAGGTGTCGAGAGAGATGGAGGAGATTGGTTAGTAAATTTCTTCTAATATTCAGAGACAGAGCAGGCGGGCTGGCTGGCTTTCATTCTGTGCTGAGGTTTATCAGACCATCTGTGAGAGTAGGTGTAACTAGTGACAAAATACCTTTCTTTGCTGAGTCGGCTGAAAGTAACATTGCTGTTTTCTGAGTGGATTGTCTGTTGAGTGTGCGTCCATGTTTGTTTGTGTATACCTATGCAGTGGTCCTCTGGGTGTGATGGTTTCCGGGAGGTAGTCAACCAGAGGAGCCCAGCAGCCCCCGTTAATAGGCATGGGTAACGGCTGAGGATGGTTGGTTTCCAGAACACCCAGAATCCAACCAGCATACGGGGGGAGTGGGTCGGCTACAAAAACAGACCAATCACAATATTCAGTTAATTGTAACATACTGTATATCTCATAAACACAAGGCTCTCTCCTCCTTAACTTTTATGATGTCTATTCACAATGCGTTGACCATGGACGCTCAAGCACAAAAACGTTCTCTCACGTGACTGTCAGAGCAGTGACAAACAGGGAATGTGACAGGTCACTTACACAAAGCAGCTCATTCAAAACATGTGGAATTCCAAACATGAGCTAAGTCGCAGACGAGATATTTCCACAACGAAGTGGTTCTTCAGCATGTTTGCACTTTAAGTTACTATGACCCTATACTAATACAATAGCTTATTTTATAACCTAAACATACTCAGTTTTGAAATGTATTCGTTTTATGATGTTTATTATTTAGCTTAAATGTTAGACATTTTGGGAAATATGCTTATTTGCCAGCCAGCAGAGACGACAGGAACATATGGTCCCAGTCAAGATATATTTTGACACGTAACCAAAGGGACGTCTTAATTTTTCAGCAGGAAATCCAGAATGTGTTTCCAAAAAAGCTGAACCTTTTTAAAAAGAAGAGCATATGTACTGAGGAAGCTATTTTCCTCTTTAAGGCCTGATGAAAGACGTGAGAGGTCCGGCTTTTGAAAAATGGCCCCACCCTTGTGCTATGCTGGTTACAGCTCTGCTTGGTCACATGAGTACTACCAGCAGCAGAGTCACGTCTGGACGCCTCCCAACACGGACGCTCGCTAAAGATAGACTGGGCACCGTCAGTGTGTGGTTGAGGTTAAATCTGTGTATCTGTGTCAAAGGGGACAGTGGTGGGTCTTGGTTTGAGTCCAAACAACAGGTTTTATATACAACTACAACATAAACAGCAAACATTTAATGGAGTGAATAAGACACACACACACACAGACACAGACCCACACACACACACACACACACACACGTTTTAGCAGAAGTGGTGAATGTTATGGACTGACAGGAAGATTCCAAGTCCTGAAGCTCTTTCCAAATAACAGACAGCTGTGAGTCCCCTTGGGCTGTGTGTGTGTGTGTGTGTGTGTGTGTGTGTGTGTGTGTGTGTGTGT